GATGAATGTAAAGCTAATGTTCTCCCATGTAAACTATCACATAATTCACAATAAAACATAAAAAAAATATATATATATATCATCCATTTCCCTGTTTTTTTTCTCTAGATGTTGCCTTTTCCCCATTCTTCCTCTTCTGTCCTTCAGGAGTTACTAACTACAGTTGACAACAATTACAACCACAAACACATGAATGATAATTACGTTTATTGAGCACTTACTATACACTGGACATGAATCAATGTCAGCTGAATTAACACAAGTCACAAAGGAGACACTGTATTTCCACGTGAAGAAACGGATACATAGAGATGAAGAAGAATCAAGGTCTATAGCCACCGTTTTGATCCAGAGGCAGGTCTTTGTGCAAGAGAAAAATGAGAAACAAGGGGAGACAAAGGAGTGAAAATGACTATCCCACTTTCTAACGTTTTCTGTATACCATATGCTTCATGCCAAAATGAGGGAGTTATTGTGTGCCTGGGTTTAGGATCTACAGGGAGAAGTTTCTCATTTTTCCACAAGACACCAGCCCTGGTATTTCTGTGAGCTATCTCCTAGGCACCCAAGATTCATTTGAATCTTTGGTAGGTTGTCTTAATGTGTCACGGTTATGTAAAACTTTATAAAGTAAATGTTCCACTCCATTAATACTGGCCAACTTTTGTTTCATTGGGTTCTTAGACATAAGTCAAAGAAAGAAGTGAATCCTGGCAGATGGGTATGGCTTGGGCCGCCATTTTGAATTTCCAATGGGATTCATGAGTCCGTTCCTCTGGTCCCTGTAACAGTAAGTTTGAGGGTGGTAACAAGTAGCCCCTGTCACTCATGGTATGATGGATACGATGTCATCTTCCTTGTCACAGCCACAAAAAGGGAACGTCCCACAACACGGCTGTAACCAGGGTTTCCAAATGGTGTTGAACACAGAAAACTGTTGAGGGACAGGCGACAGAGTCCGGCGGTGTTCTCGGACTGCTGCCTCGATCTTCTTCATCACTGGGTCAAACAGAGCTTCGTTGTCAGGGTTCAGTGGTCTGGCTTCTGAAGGGTCCTTTGAGATGTCAAAGAGCAGGGGTGGGTCGTGGTGTTGGATGTCTCCACGACAGGAACACATGCCACTTCCGTAGCAGGCTCCAGCTCCCTCAGGGCTGAACTTGGGAGTCACGTAGTGGACCTTCCACACGGTAGCACCTGGGAAACAGAGCTCCATTATCACGGCATCCTATTTTAAGTTCAGTGATATCTGTTCTCAGATGCTTCCCCTAACTTCTGATAAACTTCTAGCCACAAAGCATTGTTACAAAATCACAGGAAGCTCGATTAAACCAGAAAAGGAACTAAACATGAGAAGATACTGTTTCTCGACGTATCCGCCATCTAGGTCTGCACACTTCTGAAAGCAGTGTGTCCTTACCCAAAAAGGATTTACACCATGGTATTTGGGCATCGTTGGGAGACTTGAATCATGTTCCTTTTCAATGTTCTTTGAGTTTGGGGAACACAAAGAAATCTGAAGGACCAAGATCAGACCTGCAGGGTATATAAGTGTAAAGTTTCCTAACAAAAGTCTCCTAGGACAGACCTTACTAAAACTGAAGAATTAACAAGTGCACTGTCATAATAGGTGTGAAAAAATCTTTGCTGGAGCAACTTTCCTGGACCTTTAAAAAAAAATTTTTTAATCAAAGTAGTTTTCAATTTTCTTAAAACTTCTTAAGAGCAACTACAATCACCCTGTGTCCTTTGAGGAAAATTCTTTCAAGATTACCCTTTGGAGTCCCCTCTCTGTCTTGAATGCATCTGCCCAACAGATCCCCTTGAATGCCATTTTTTCAGTTGGACCTTTTTTTATTTTTTTTTTGAAGGCACCTAAATGAGACTAAAAAAGTGTATTACAGGGAGAACTTGTCTGCAGCCATCCACTGATGACAAACACATGCTGGCGTGTGTTTTGTTTGGAATAAACCCATGCGTGTGTGGACTAGAAGCCAAGCAGTAATATACATCTTTTATTTACCCTTATATAACAATGGGGGCATGGCCTCAAATGGATGAATAATGAATGTTACTGAAAACTGGGATTGTTGTTTTTTAGCTTATCATGAGATCTTTTGGGTTCGGTAGTATTTATCCAAAGAGTTATTAACCAAATAAACCAGTTGCCACCTTGCTGATTCTACCTCGTACCAACCCCATATAAAACTGTGCTCCCCATCTGTGATCTTTAGGAAACAGATAGACAGACCATTATTTGGAGGCATCACTGGGTGGATTTGAACCTCAAACCTTTTGGTTAGCAGCCAAGTGCTTAACCATCTGTGCCACCCTGGGACTCTAGAACTATTACACCACAGTCCTGGAGACTCTAATTCACAATGCTACCTTGAGTTCACTCGGTAAACACACACAAGGTGGGGAAATTATGTAAGAGCAAACACTACTTTCTAATCTGAAATTGGCAATTTTTCTTTGGGAAGATAGGTCATTTGTTAGGTCTGCTGGCTGGGTCTTGCAGAACAACTTTCTTTTCCTTCTAAAACTAGATCAAATTGCTTATTTGGACCCTTTCCCGTCTTTGGTATTCCCCTTCCTTCCTGTATGGAGAGCAGATGTGATGTCAGGAGTCACAGCAGCCATTTTGCAGCTATGGGGTAAGTATCACAAGATAGTAGCATCTTGTTGTTGTTGTTGTTATATGCCGTGGAATCGGTTGTGACTCATAGCGACCCTGCACAGGGTTTCCAAGACTGTAAATCTTTACGGGAGCAGAACACCTCATCTTTCTCCCACGGAACAGCCTGGTATTTTTGAACTGCTGACCTTGCGGTTCGCAGCCCGATTAGAAGCCACTACGCTACCAGAGCCCCTTAGTAGCATCTTAGGGAAATAGAAAGAGCTCAAGACCCCCGGTCATGGTGTTGAACTATTTGATGCATCCTTCAGAATTCTCATGATGTGAAAAAGTAAAACAGCGTCTAGTTGTGTAACCCCCTTGTAGGACGGTCCTGGGTGGTACAAGTGATGACTGCACTAGACTAATGATCAAAAGGTGGTTGTTTTTCAGTGCCCTTGAGTTAACACTGACTTGCTGCAGCTTTATAGGAGGGAGTAGAACTTCTCCCACAGTCTTCCCATGGCTGGAATCTTTACAGATCACCAGGTCTCTTCCCGATCACCGAGTCACTGGTGGATTCAAACCACTGACCTCCGGCTACAAGCTGAGAGCTTAACCATGGAGCCACCACACACAAAACACACAAACATACACACATTTCCACACACCACACAACAAACGCAACCATCCCTCGTTTCACCATGCAGATGTTGGCTTTCTTCTCACACATGGAAATGTTTGGGCACATCTATTGGGGCTGTTTCCAAAGAGCGCTTGGCGAGTTTGTGTCTCTGTGTTCCCTTTTGGCCATTTGTACAATATTTCAGGCTTTTCTTCACACTGTGGCACAGTTGGCTGGCTACAGCCTAGAGTCAACATCACTCTAGGTTTTATTCTATGTGCTGGACGAGCAAAACATTGCGTAACCCACTTCATTATGAAACTTCCCCTATTGGGAGAATCTGGAAATCAAACCTGTAATATCTTCGAAGTACCCCTGTACTTAGACGTGTGCACTCCACACACATCCACACACGCACACTGCCCATAAACACACACCTCACACAACATACACACATGTAGACACATAGCATACACACTTGTCCCTAGACACACACACAACACACACATACACACACCCGCTAGAATCCTATTGAAGCTGCGGTGTCCGACACTACACTTCCCTGCAGAAAACAGCCACCGTGGCCGGGTTTCGTAAATACACAGTGGGCCTTCCTCCAAGAGCATGAGGACAAGGAGACTGTGCCCACCTCTGTCCACATGGCCACCCTGGGCTCTATACTCACAGTCCCGTTGGTGCCACCTCACTGTATGCAAGTAGATTCCACAATAGTGGAAGAGGAATTCGTGGTCCGAGTGTGAGACTCTGCCTTCCAGCAGGGGCATCAGGTTCCGGCCGTCGATCACCCTTAGAGAGAGGAGAGGACAAAGGACAGGGTGAGAGGGGCCGGGTCTGCTCAGGTCGTTCATGGTGCATGGCAGGAGGAGGGTCTCCGTGAGTTGGAACCGAGCCCAGGGCAGTGGGAATGGGGTCTGATTTTATAGCAATCCTTTTCCACTTACCTTTCTTTGTAAGTAAGAGAAAAAAAAGCAAGACACCTTTCTTTGTAAGTAAGAGAAAAAAAAGCAAGACACATTCTGAGTGAAGCAGAACAAAATTCCATCATGAACCCAGGGAAGGGAGATAATGCCTGAGCCCTGATTAGCATATTGATCAGTAGGCAATACCCTGACAATACCCCAGTAGCTGTCAGCTCAGAGTTCTCAATATCTACACATCCCAGTGTATCACAGTACAGCTGGGGTTGGCACGTACTTGGTGCCTGATTTTTTAGACATCGATCAAATTTCTTCCAAAGCATCTACACCAAATGTTCTAAGACTGCAAAGTCAGTTTGAGCCACAAGGTCGGCGGTTCAAGCTCACCAGACACTCCTCGGAAACCCTATGCAGGGTCGCTATGGGTTGGAACCAACTCGAGGACCCTTCACAATATCTATGCACCCACATGCATGCTGAATAAGTATCTCAAGGTGGAGAGGACCTGGTTCTGCATACCTGTCCTGGGGCAGTATCCCTCCGCCAACGTAAGACAAGGTCGGGTAGATGTCCATCAGACTTGTAGGATCATTGATGACTTTCCCAGCCTCCAGGACGGTTGGCCACCGGAAAATCCCTGGGACCCGGATCCCTCCTTCCCAGCCGCCCATTCCTTTGCCACCTAAAGGTTAGAAACAAAGAGAATTCAGCTCACCCATACAGTAGTCTTCCACGTTGAAAGTTACACCTAGATGGAGCGGGTCTGTGTACTCGCTACACCAAAGCGAGGTAGACGATCTGCTTGAAACGAGGAAGACTTCTGCTGTAAATAATAATCAGTCTTTCCTATTGCTGTTGTTGTGAGGTGCTGTCGAGTTGGTTCAGACCCATAGCAACCCTGTGTAGGGTTTCCAAGGAGTGGCTGGTGAGCTTGAACCACAAACCTTGAGGTTCAAACCAACTTTGCAGTGTAGCAATCAAACCTTTTTAAAGCAGGATGGTAAAGTGGTTGATTGTATTCAATTAAAAAAAAGCTGAGCTTGGGTATTCAAAGGTGTTTGGTTCTAGAGCAACGGTCCTGGAGTGAAGGAGTTGTTCCGTGTATAGGGAACACTGAGTAATGTCTGGAGACATTTTCTATCTTCACAACTGCTATTGTTGTTGTTGTTAAGTCTGTTAAAATCGGTTCCCACACAGAGCAACTGGTGGGTTGGAACCACCGACCTTTTAACAGTCCAGTGGCTGATTTATCAGAAGCAGATAGCCAGGACTTTCTTCCACAGCACTGCTGTGTGGATCCAAACCTCAAATCTTTTGGTTCACACTCGAGCATAAACTGTTGGTACCATTCAGGGATGAATAACCATCAGGGCAGCCCAGTGCCTTGGCACTAAGAAACTAAAGCAAAATCTATCTGTCTTAGCAGAGATGACACCCATTTTAGAGAGCAACATGCCCCCTCCCAGACCACATCACCTTTGTAGATGCCGTTCCAGCCTCCCAGTCTGGAGGGCCCGTCCTGAAGCTCCAGGCGACCCCCATTGTCGGAGGTGAAGTAGACCAGCGTGGTGTTGGTCAGCCGCTCCTGGTCGAGTGCTTCTAGGATTTTACCTGCCAGAGAGCAGACAGAACATCTTTGAGTTCTCCACATGCATGGATCTCTGTTAAGTTCTGTACTCATTATCTGCTTCCTACGGGACATGTTACGAACCATACACATAATCCCTACTCATTACAAAACAGTGCTGGTGTGATGCTATGGATTAATACGCTGGACTGTGAGGTCGGTTTCAACCGCAAGATCAGTGGTTCAAACCCACCAGCCACTCTTCAGAAACCCTATACAGGCTCGTTATGGGTTGGAACCAACTCGACGGCCCTTAGCAATGACAATACTCATTATAGTTAATAGACTGAATTAATTTGATAATTCCACTGCAGACTTGTACGAACCCTCTAGAACAGGGTACAACTGTCCCCATAGGGTTTCCGAGACTATAAATCTTTGTTGTTGTTGTTATGTGACACAGGGCAATCACTGGGACTTATTAGAAGTTTTCAGAAGATTGAAGCGTGTATTGGTGGATTTAAAGGCCAGGAAAATTATGCTGAGGAAAAAAATTTTTTTTTACCCATCACAACAAAGCATCTATTCATTGTTTAAGAGTATCAAGGGCTATCCCATTAGAATTTCCTTGGGAAGCCCCTCACCCTACAGCCCTGATCCTGCTCTCCAGAACTCAAAGAACATTGAAAAAGACCAGGATTTGAGTCCAGCCCGGGGCCACTCAATCATTTAGAGGTGATGTAAATCCACAAGCTCTGATAGCGTAGCGGTTACAAGTTGGGCTGCTAACCTCAAGGACAACAGTTCGACACTACCAGGGGTTCTGTGGGAGAAAGATGAGGCTTTCTGCTCCTGTAAAGATTTCCAGCCTCGGAAATCCTATGCAGGGTCGCTATGGGTCGGAACTGACTCCACAGCACTTAACAACAACAACAAATCGACGAGCACAGAATTCTCCAGGAAATGGTTGCTGTTGTTGTTGTTGTTGTGAAGTGTCATGGAGTTGGCACGGACTCACAGCGACCCTGTATAAGGTTCCCAAGGAGCGGCTGGTGGGTTTGAACCACCAACCTTGTGGTCTAGTGCTGATCCTACGGCGCCACCCCAGGATTCCCCGGGGAAGAGTTGTTATTGTTGTTGTTAAGTGCTGTGGAGTCGGTCCCGACCCATAACGACCCTGTATAGGGTTTCCGAGGAGCGGCTAGTGAGCTTGAACCACCGACCTTGCAGTCTAGCGCATTAACACACAGCAATGAAAAGTCACCCTCAGAAGCGTATAGAGTAAGCTGGAGATGTTGACGAAAAATCGTTCCCCATCTTGACAATTCTGATTAATCAACGTTCCTACCATCCCGTTGCAATACTTTGTGACTTAATCCTCGCATTTTTGAACCCCAAGTGGTACAAATGGTCATGTTTACATACAACTGTTGTTGTTGTTGTTGTTGTTAAATGCTATCAAGTTGGTTCTAACTCATAGAGACCCTAAACAGGGTCTGGTGAGTTTGAACCACTGACATTCGGCTCAAACCAGCCTTATGGTCCATGCTCATCCTACAGCGCCACACCAAGACTCTGGCTACTACTATAAGCTGAATTCATGGCATTTCAAGTTCACCCAGAGGTAATTAAGAAGACTTGCCTGGCAATCATTTCCCAAAAAATATCAGTCCTTGTGGATCACTCTAGAGGGTCCCGGAGAGAGTGGGAGAAAATACGGAACAAAACTCAAAATTAATTCCAAAAAAAAAAAAAAAGAGACCATGTTCACTGGCCAGAGGAACCTAAGACCTTCGATCACCCTTCAGGTCTGGAAACGAACTTACCATCGTGGTCCAAGTTTTAACCAAGCAGTACACAGATTTATAAGGGAGACAACCGTAGCAAATTCTGCTCACCGTGGAATCATTCAAGATCAAAAAGACAACGTTTTCCTAAGAATACAGTTGAGGAGGGCTGGGAAGGAGGGTGGGATGGAAATAAGAACCACAGGGAGGAAGCGGGATAGCTGTTGTTGTAGGGAGGGGATTACAATGATTGAGATGAAACAAAGTGTGACATTTGTTGGATGTAAAACCAAAGACTCTTGTCTGTAAACCTTCATTGAATTCACAATTACAAAGTTAGAAGGAAAACCAGCCTTTGTTAACCCCAACATACTGCAGTTCTGCAAAGACACAGCGGAGGACGCCAGGAGTAAAAATCGATGCTGGGTTTGTTGTTGGTTGGTTTTCCTCCCATCATACCCCAGGGGTTGGACATCAGGTGAGATGAGGTTACAGGCCTGTTTCCTGGGAGCCCGTGAGGACGTAGAAAGCTGCGTCCCAGGTTTACTCACCTACCATCCAATCCATCTCTTCCACATTGTCCCCATACAACCCGTATTTGCTGTGTCCCACAAACTTCTCCTTGGTGATGAGCGGGGTGTGCACATGCAGGAAGGAAACGAAAAGGAGGAACGGGGCCCGTTTGTACCTAAAGGGGGGAAAATCATCGGCTGTAGGAACACCATCAATACAGGCTTCAGCCCCACTTGGGTTCGGTTGTGCCTGATTTGTGGTTCAAATTGAGCTTGCAGTCCAGTGCTTATCGTGCAACACCACACCAGGACTCCATGAAAGCTGGTGAAGGTTTTAAATGCTGTAAAGCCAGACTGCCTCTTATTCTTCGGACATGTTATCAGGAGGGACCAGTCTGTGGAGAAGGACATTGTGCTTGGTAAAGTGGAGGGTCAGTGAATAAGAGGAAGACCCCAATGAGATGGATTGGCACAGTGGCAGCAGCAATGGGGTCCAGCTTAGGAACGATTGTTGTATTGTGTTGTTCTCTTGTGCGTAAGGTCACTATGAGTCGGTACCAACTCGATGGCTCCTTACAAGAAGAATGAGCCTGGTTCAAAACTACTCAGGAAAAAGCACTCTGAGTTGAAATCAAGTCTACACCAAAGTGTACATGTGCGTGTGTGAATTTAAGGAGACCTGGCTGTATAGTGCTCTAAGCACTGAGTTGCCCACCACAAGGAAGACGGTTCAAATCCACCAACTGCTCCACAGGAGGAAGATGCACAGTAGCGTGAGATGGAACCAACCCAAAAACGACTGTGTTTTGGGTGAGGTGTTTTACAGAGAGACACTATCAAACAAGCTCATCCCAGACATCACCCGGCGAGACCCAGAACGTGACTGGATCTGGGTCCATGACTCAGAGTCAGAACACGATTCCCTGACAGCACGCGGCGCAGACACAAGTACCTGTCGATGAAGGCCAACGCCTCCTTCAGCATGAGGGAGGACATCCTGTGCTCCTTCATGGGTTGCTGGATGATGTCGTGATTTCTCATGAGGATGCAGTTCCAACGCCGGATGAAGCCGTAGCTGGAGAACCAGGCCACAAAGAAGAGGAAGGCCAGCAGGGCAAAAGCCACGATGAGCTTCCAGGGAACCGGGAACCAGCCCACGAACTTGGGCACCAGGAGCAGTAGGGGGAGGACCCCCAGGGCCACGGTGGACATCCAGAGCTTGAGACGCAGCCCGCGGTGCAACTCTGCCCGACCCCAGGCCTGGCAGTCTCCTAGCAGACCCAAGGGCAGCCCGTAGAAGTAATCGAAGCCGTGATTCAGCGGGTGGTAGCAGTGGTCATTGCGGGAGGCACAGCTCAGCCCCTGGTGCCATTTGCCTGGGACGGAACACAAGAGCAAATCAGATGACAGGACGCAAGAGCAAATCAGATGGCAGCACACGAGAGCAAATCAGATGAAAGGGTGTGAGAGCAAATCAGATGGCAGCACGCGAGAGCAAATCAGATGGCAGCACG